GATCAAAATTTCTCTTCCGATTAACATGAATTGAGATGGTTTACTATTGGTATATAATATATTTGGTAAAACATATGTATTGATGATTTTAATAAGGCTATTCTTTTTAAATAAGGTGAAATCCCATGTTGTCTATATGAAGAAAGCATGGGTCTAAATTTTCTGTTGGACCCGGCATGGAAGTTCCCATGATAATAAAGTGGATAAAAATAATTCTAGAGAGCGTGTTGTAATCATTTTTATATTTTAGAAAACAGAAGTAGAAAATGGTACTATGTGAAAAGTTCCATTTTTTACAGATTTGTTTTGCCTTTTGATGAAAAGTAAATATATAGTTAATTTGCACCAGAATTGAGTTGAAGCTCCGTCACCTTTGACATTTGTGATAAATATAATGATTTCGTAACCGTACCGCGGCGACTGAAAAGGAATCATGCATGACATGGAATTGAAAACAAAAAATGGAGAATCAAACATGAGTTGACCAATGCAATCACCAAATCGGAATACTGGTTCCAAAATGTCTTAAACATTTTATTTTTTCGTGTGATGTTATGATAGTGGGAAAAGTGGCTTTCAAGTTGGGAATGCGAAGGAGACAAATGTGAAGGACAAGGTGAGCTTTTGGTGCAGATAATAAACCTATGTGCCGGGAATTGGATTTCGGAGGATCAAGTGTTGGATCCACAATATCAGAGTCTCCTTCAACTCACTAACACCGTCTGCTGTACACTCCATTGTCTTCAAAAGGACAAGGTTAGTGACATGGCAACCATTATATTTTATATCCTACGACAATGCTATAGCTACTTTCCAAACCTTAATCTTTTGGCTGCATGCTCCTTAATTAATTCATTTTATTTACCTTCCCCACTTTCCCATAAACCAAAAAAAAAAAAAAAAAAAGCAGGCTGGTTTACAAACCTAAAAAGCTGCATAGATTTTTTTAATTTATTTTTTAATTAGATATACCATGCATATGCTCTTTGGATTATTGTTAGAAAAGTGAACTAAGCAGCTTTAGGAAAAGGGTTTATCACAGGAAATAAAGAAAAAGAATCATCAGCAAATGGGCATTTACAATATGTTTGGATTAACTTTATCGTATGAAATAATATTTAATCCTTTTTTATAATAAAAAAGTAATAAATAGTTACTTTTCTTTTTATTTCTTTTAGTATTATATTACTATGATCTTGAGGAATAATATTGATTCGTGAGTGATACCCAAACACATCCTTACTCTTCTCAAAATAGTCATAATAGAGGCCTTGCGAAACACAACACAGAGAGCATTGTCTTTATGAAAACTGCATAATGGAAATTCTATCCTACACAAAACTTTGTCGTTTAGTGTAGTGGTGCACTATGCACGATCTTCAAGTTTGCCGACTCCATAATAATATATCTCTTATAGGAGAAATTCTTGTATATCTATTGAATATCTATTGTCCACATTGGTGAATTATTATTCGTTTTGGGTCCAGTTTCTCACAGGTTTGTCTTTAAATATTATCAAAAAAACCTATCAACCAATAAAGACAATTGTGTGTATATAAACTCATGTGCATTCTCTTATTTGAATGATGTGGGATTTTGTTTATATCCCAACAGATTATTATTATGTATATATTACATAATTCTTTTGCCGCGCACAAATTTTTTTATATTTAAAATGATATGCTTGATTCGGTATATCTATAATTTGTTAGTAACATTTGCATCTTTTGTGAATATAACCCTATAGGAACTCGAGAATGGCGGCAATGGTACGTATGTAAACAGCATCACCACCGAAGAAGTAGAGTCAAAAATGCAAGAACTGGTGCAATTGGTGTACCAAAAATCTCCAACTGGCATTGATTTCAATATCAAGAGTACTTTCCTCACAGTGGCCAAGAGTTTTTACTATACAGCATTCTGTGATGCAAGGACCACCAACTTCCATGTTGCCAAAGTTCTGTTTGATAAAGTTGTTTAAATAATTTTTTTATTTAAACAATGTTTAGATGTTAGATTTCACCATCATTGTGCATAATTTCCCTGCGAACAATGTTCAAAAGAAAAAAAAAATGTTCAGTTGTGCTGCTCCATGTATATGCATGCCATTTTTCAGCTTTCCAATAATTTTATTAAATTTTACTTCCTGTCTTTAATTTGTGTGAATAAACAATTTTAATACTCTTATTTTAAAATAGAGATATTTAAAAAATATATTGGATTAAAATTTTGAAAAATTATTTTAACATAAAAAACATTTTGTGAATTTTCATTTTTTTTTAAAATGTAATATAATCTCTAAGGTTTTTTTTTTAAGTACTTTTATAATCAGAATTTTAATAGATTTATAGTATGAGAATTTATAAAATTTAAAAGAATTTTATGCGATTTCAAAAGATAATATGAATTTTAGAAAAAATACAGTTAATGAGAAAAATATAATAATACAAATGATAAAATTTAAATAAAAAAGTAAGAATTGTATAATTTTTTAATCTTTTAATAGAAAAAACTAAAGTTATATAATTTTTTAATAGACAAAAACTAGAGTGTAAAGTATAATAAGAGCATGAACTCGAAAACAAAAACTAGAGTGTAAATATAATAATAATAAAAAAAAACATCTTATATTGGTTGTTATTTAATCGGTGTTGAATTTCTTTCTGCATCAAATCGATGTAAGAAGTAGCATCATACACCGGTTGTTTGACAACTAATATAATAAAAAATGTCCTACTGTTCTTTTTTTTTTTTTTTGTTTATAAGTCGCGTAAAATAACAAATGTAAAATAATGTTGTTAAATGCTATTTTTCCAGCTGTTTCTGTCGACAAGAAAATGATAAAGGGCCATAATTATTGTGTTGATAATTAAAGTACGTAAGTTATAATTATTGTTGTGATAATTAACATGTATAGCAATGATGTACGTAAGCCATAGTGGAAGAGTGAGAGTTTCAACTTGACCCATCTTGAATGGATACAGATTTTGCAAGTGGAATATCAGAGTCAAGCAGTAAACCACATTAAAGTGCTCTCAGAAGTGAGATATCTTTTGACCCAAAAATGATACATCCTCTGAAAGGATCCTCCCAAATATATTCTGACCTAATGTGTGAGTTAATAATTTAAATATAAATAAAAAAATTTACTGTATATTTGGAGGAACTTTGGGAGAAAATAGCATCACTCCTTTTGACCTGTTTGTCCAATGATATTGAGATCCCATAAAAGTTGGCAATAATAAAAATGGCAGACAAAGGTCCCGCGTGTAAACAAACATGTGAGGAACTTGGTGGGTTGGTCTTTCTTCGCATGAAGTGGGTGCTTCACCAAATCCTACATTGCACAAAATATCTACCAGAAAAATTCATCTCAGCTGAAAATGCTTTATATATATAATTAGGAAAGGCAAAACACAGTTTTCATAATTTCTTCATTTCAAATAATTAATTAAAAGTATTGATCTTAAGTAACACGTGCTTAATTAAAAATCATCTGAACTCTTCTTTCAAAATAAATTTATCTACAAAATAGATTAAAAAAAATATATTTTTGTTTTTAGATTTTAACATATTAATATCGAGCGATATTTAAAATTAAATAAAATAAAAAAATACACGTAGCTAGGTTCACTTATTATTTTAGAGGCAAAAATCATTTCAGAATAGCGTTATCTGCCACCCACTAAAATCCATTATCAAATGTCAACAAGATGTCATAATACTGTAGATGAGTGAATTAGGGTTTATTAATTAATTATTACTGCTTGTAACAGCAATCTATTTCTATCTCAAGGAAATGACGCAACGAGAAGAAACATTTTATGATAAATTCAAAGAATATTTAATTTTTGTGCGTCAATGAAACATTCGGTGTCAATAATTATTACTCTTTTTCTTTTTTACCGATAATGAAATTTAACTATTTTAAAACATTATATGGTCAAACACTATTGGAGATATTACTTTATTTAAGAATAAAAAAAGTTATATATTCTTATTAGGAAAAAAAATATATAAACAGTTTTACACTATTGATTAATCATAAATTATTGTGAGTATAATTTTTAAAATTATTATTTAAATATTTAACAATTTTATCATATATATATATAAATTAAATATTATTTTTAATACTTTTAGTTCTATTTTTACATACATCTTTTTATCCTTTTTTTATTATTTTTTTTTTATTTTTGCAACTTTCTAAAATCACATTCTTTGACATATTATCTCTTTCTAGTTTACACGTCATTTTTTTTTTACATTTTATTTTAGAAAAGGAACAGCGTATAAGTAAGTGATAATAAAAGTAAATATTGTTTCTTCTTTTAATAATTGAATTAATTATATCTATACTTTTAAGAGATATTTGGTAGGGAAGAAATTTTTTCATGTTCAAAAATATAATACTTGAAAATTATAAATTTTGAAAATCATAATTCATAAAAATAATTAAAATTCACTTGGATGCTCGTATGAAAATATTTATATAGATTTCTTAGGAATAGGGACGGACCTTTTTGGGGACAGTGGGGAGCCATGGCTCCCTCAAATTTTTCTATAATATATATATATATATATATATATATATATATATATAAATATAATATTATATTTATATAATTATTTTATGAAATGACTAATAAATGATAATATTTTTTTAGATTTTATTATTATGTATGTTTATTTTGAGTAGAAAAAATTAAAAGTTTTATTATTTTTTTAATTAGTAAAACATTTAATTTATATATAAAAAGATTAATTTAGCACCTTTAAATTTTTTATCCAAATTTCGCCATTACTTAGAAAATAAAGATTCTCACATTTGATTATTATTTAGACATATAAATATTTTTTATAAAATTACTTTTATAAAAAAATTGAGTTTTTTCTTTTTTATAAGTTGTAATCGTGTTATAATCTAACATAAAAATATCATATTTAACTTAAAATAAAAAATCAACAATTTACATATAATTAAACTATATAAAAAGTATAAAGTAAATCAAAGTGTAAAATACAGTTTTTATGATTTATCATAATAAGAAAGAAAAAACCTAAATTAACAATTAAAATTAAAATATGAGTAAACTATATATAAAATAGTAAAGAACATATATAATGTTATTTTGCTTAAATAATTTATTAAACTTATAATAAGTTAAAATTAAAAGTCATAATAAGAAATTAGCAACGTTAGTTTTATAATTTATAATATTTAAATAGTTATAAAAATACCATACCTTATGAAAATTATCTAACTATTTAATTTTTATTATTAGGTTAACAAGAAAAATATTCACATCATACATAATAAACACAAGAACAAAAGAGAGAAAAAGAAAGATTTAAATGGAGTTTGTGAAAGAGTACAAAATGGTGTTATCTTTTTCTCCATCTTTAAAAAATTAATAATGGAGTATATAACAAAGAATATTTTGGAAGAAGATGAATTCGAATTATATATTTCTTTTTGATTTTTATATACATTTTTTCCTATTTAAGAAAGTTAGATTCCCAATTTCCTATGAAAATATTTTTTTTGTTACAAAGTAAGATAAAAATGGTTTCTAGAAAATATATCTTTTGAAATTTTTTCAAATGACTATCAAATATGAAAAATTAAAATTCTCCATTTAAAATATTTAAAAATATAAAAATATTTCGTGTAATAAACGAATCTTATAACTATCTCTTTTGATGTATGCAATTTTTTTTACTATCTCATTGTTAAAACTACTTTTTTCATTTATTTTTATTTAGTTTTTTTTTCTCTCTCTTCATTAATTTACAACTATTCTCATGTAAATCTCTCGCACACTTTTAAGTAACTACTTATTGCATTATTATTATTTTTGAAATATAAAAACACTGATTCTCTCTTTTCCCTTAATATGTTATTACTTAACGCGTAGTGAGTTAAGTGATAATAATTCTCATTTTAAAAATGTGAATTTTAAAATGTGGGTTAAATTATACATGTATGATGATAATTTTTATTCTTCTCTTTATAGCATCAATATTAAAAATTATTAAGTCTGTGGATACCCGTAACAATAATATGATTATAAAATAAGGTTACTACAAAAGTTATGTGTATTTTTTTTAATATTAACAATTTTCAAATAAAATATAATTTTTTATATTCATAGTTCTCATTTCTTTCAATAAAAAATAATACATCTCTCTTTATATGTAACTTTTTTATTTATCAAAATTACAATAACGATAGATTTAGTAACTCAATTCTCCTAATTCTAGGTCAACCATGGACCATGGTGGTTCGTGCTTGTATATATTTTTGTCTATACTTTGACTCTATGAGACTATTTTTAAGAGAGAATGAAAATGCTAACAACATATCTTGTAACAAACTTTTTTGAATACACTCTT